CCCCCCCCCCGCAGCCTCACGGAGACAAGCCTGCACTCACGTTGGAGCATGGGGCTTATTCTGGAAGAGCCATGGGTCTTGAGCATGTCTGCCCGCACTCACTGGGGCCTGGTGCTGTGCTGTGCACCTGTGGGTGGGCGGGGCTCTCGGCCTGTCCCGAGGGAGGCCAAGGAGGCTATGGTGCTTTCTGTGTAGGTTCCTGAGAAGAAGCTGAAGCTGGTCATGGCTGACAAGGAGCTGTACCGAGCCTGTGCAGTAGAGGTGAAGCGGCAGATCTGGCAGGACAACCAGGCGCTCTTTGGAGATGAGGTGTCTCCATTGCTGAAGCAGTACATACTGGAGAAGGAAAATGCACTCTTCAGCACGGAGCTCTCTGTCCTGCACAACTTCTTCAGTCCTTCCCCCAAGACCAGACGCCAGGGTGAGGTGAGGGGCTGCGGGAGCTCAAGCAGAGCTCTTCGGGGCTGTGTGGCCAGCCCCTTCCCTGGCTGCCCCTTCTTCCCCAGTGAGGGTGGGAGTTGTTCTGGAGTGTGGGCTACTGCTTATAGCTGTAGAGCTTGGTTGCCTCTAAGTTTGTGTGTATTTTGCATGTTAGTGTAAGGGTAAAGTCTGTGGACAGGACTTTAATTTAAAAGGACAGCTGTACACCATTTCAAAGAGCGAACTGGTACATAAGCTTTCCGATCTAAGTAGTTTGTTAAGGTGGTGTGGTTGAGTATTTCATATTTCACACTTTAGAACAGAGTGAATAGAAGTTTTCACTTATTACTAATGCCACTAAACCTCTAATAAGTTACTTTTTATTGAGATTTCCTAATTAGCCATCTGTCTGTCTTTTTGTTATGTTTGAGACAGGGTCTTGCTGTATAGTTTGTGCTAGTCTTTTTGGCAGTACTGGGGATTGAACTCAGGATCTTGTACTTGCAAGGCAGGCGTGGCACCACTGAGCTAAATCCCTCGCCCCATGTGCTAGTCTTGAACTGAGGGTGTAGCCCAGGCTGGCCATGAACTTGCGGCAATCCCTCTGCTTCAGCCTCTCGAGTGCTGGGATGATAGGTCTGTGCCACCACACCTGACCTATGAGTATCAGTTAGTAAAGCGAACAAGTAAGCTATGTATATCATTCAAAGTTTATTATCCCCATCGAGGGAAAAAAGGATAGAGGAGCTGTGTATGGTGGTGCATATCTGGAATCCCAGCTATTCAGCTAGCTGAGGCAGGAATATTGGAAGTTTAAATCTAACCTGGCAATTTATTTGTTTGTTTATTTGGTACTGGGGATTGAACTCGGGACTTTGCGCTTGTGAAGCAGGTGGTGGAACCACTGAGCTAAATCCCTGTCCCTAACCTGGTCAATTTAGTGGGAACTTATCTTAATGTAAAATATACAAAAAAGGTCCAAAGGCCTTGGATTTAATCCCCATATTGGGGTGGTAGATAATACCTTTTCTTTAATCTAATGTAATGTGATTGGTAATCGGTGTGAATGATTGTTATTGAGCTGTATTGTTTTTATCTGAGAGTCACTAATTTTGCATTGTGGTGAGTCTTCCATGCTTATAGCACGTGTTGTTGCCACATAGCCAACACCAAGTAGCCACATGTTGCTGGTTTTTCTGAGGCTCTGTATTGTTTTTATCTGAGAGTCACTAATTTTGCATTGTGGTGAGTCTTCCATGCTTATAGCACGAGTTGTTGCCACATAGCCAACACCAAGTAGCCACATGTTGCTGGTTTTTCTGAGGCTCTGGGTGGGCCAGGTGGAGTGGCCCCTGCTGGGATTGGGCGGGTATGGCACACACCCTGCCTGTCCCTTCCCTGTGCTGTTTATTCTGGTTTCAGCCCTCTGGCCCCATCTTGTCCATCTTGCAGACTAAGCCCTTGCCCCTCTGAGCTGTGAGGTCCCAGTGTCCCCAGCCTTTCTCTATCTCTCCTTTTCCTGGTGAGCTGATTCTGGATTTGAGAGACTTGCTTGGTCTGCCTTGTCCTAGGGTGAGCTTTCTCTGAAAAGTAGTTGTTTTGTTTTTGTTGTTGTTGTTTTTATTGTACCAGGGATTGAACTTAGTTTTGTTTTGTTTTTGTTGTTGTTGTTTTTATTGTACCAGGGATTGAACTTGGGTCCTTGTGCTTGCAAGGCAGGCAGTGGAACCACTGAGCTAAATCCCCAGCACTGAAAAGTAGTATTTTAACACAAACAGCAAAATATACAGAGCAGAAAATCACCTCCCTCCAGCTCTCCTCCAGGCCAGGAAGTGGGGGCCACTCTGTCCCCCCCCTCAGCTGCACCCATACTCTGCAGGTTGCTGGCTTGCCCCACAGGCTGTCTCCAGGCCTCACTCCCGGGTGGATCTGTCTTTTGGTCACATCACATTGTTGGCATGGCCAGAGGGCGGTGTCCGTGGTGTCCTGTGCTGTGGACATCTTGCCCTTCCAGGATGGACAGGCCACCACATTTCTTTGTGCTGCTCGTCTGGACAGTGATGGTGCGGCATGCAGTTTTCCTGAGGTTCCTGGTTGTTATTCTGGGACCTGTGTCCTGGCTTTCTCCGCTATCCCAGCTCTGGAACTCCATTACCCTTCACAGGCTTCCTTCCCTGATGTGCCAGGCCACCCCACATCTGTTCTTTGCCCGTGTCTTGTGTTAATTGTATGTTTTGTGTCCCCCAGCTTGCTTTCCTCCTTTAAAACAAATTTCTTTTTGAGGCCTCAGGATCGAACATTCAGGCACGCTAGGCAAGTGTTCTCCCACTCAGCGACATCTCCAGCCCCTCTTCCTCTAGCTTACTTTTTCTTGTTTTGTTAGGGAACATCCTTTTTTTGTTGTTGTTTTTCTGGTTTTTTTGCGGGGCTTTGGGATGGAACCCTGGGTCTCAGGTGTGCTGGGCAACTAACTGCTCTACCACTGAGTGACACCGCAGTCCCTCAGAAACACTGAAGAAAGTTTTCAGAGTTCAGATGCACCTGCTGTTTATTTCGCTTAGACGTTAGCCGACTGGTCTACTTGCACTTGAAGTTCCAAGTGTTGAAGTCTTTTTTCACTTTTCTCTGGTGTGCATTGCTGAAGATGGCTCTGAAGAGCCTCCGATTCCCCGTGCTTTGTCCACAGCCTGATTTTCGGAGTCTGGAAGCTTTGCAGTCTGTTGGTGCTCCATGATACTGCAGTGCTGTGGCAGTGAGTGCCAAGCTAACACCTGCTCATGGTCCCAAAGTGTGAGGCAGCTGGGTGGGTCCTGGGTTCTGTCCTTGATGAGCTATGATCAGGAGCCCTGGACAGCCTCCTCCCTTTGGTTCATGTGTACAGGGGCAGGGCTATGGTCCCGCTTGCCCACCATCCTCGTTGGAAGTGCCTAGTTCCCATGTAGGTGGCTAGGAGCCCTGTGAGCTCTGGACACAGTTTAGCTGAGATGGGGCCTGCAGACCTCAGTGGCAGGTACTGTCAGGGATCCTGAGAATGTCTGCAGGGCCAGGGGCTTTGTAGCCCTTGCTGACCTTACCGCTGGTGGAGTGCAGCTTGGTGCCTTGGGCTTTCTGTGATACCCATCACCCTGGGCTTGCCCTAAGTGTCCCTCAAACCAGGGGCTGAGGCCAGTTAGCTGTGGTGTTTTGGCCAGAGAAGCTGTGGCCCTCTGGTAGGAGCCTATGAGCCACCCGGACTCTGGCCTGAGTCCTATGTCAGGTGGTACCGTGTCCCTGTGCTGCCCTGCAGTGAAGGTAGGGGAACCCTGGACAGCAGTGCTTATTCTCTGGATGGGGGGCTTTGCTGGTACTCTGTGGCCAACAACGGGGACACAAGGGGACAACGGGGACAGAAGCCTGTGGGGAAGCTCTCTGGAGGGAGGGCAGTGCTGGTTCTGGGCCCAGACCTGTGCCACTGCTGTGTGGGTTGGGTTGGGCTCCTTGCACTGTGTCCTCTAGGTGGTACAGAAGCTGACACAGATGGTGGGGAAGAACGTGAAGCTGTATGACATGGTGTTGCAGTTCCTGCGCACGCTTTTCCTGCGGACCAGGAACGTGCACTACTGCACGCTGAGGGCCGAGCTGCTTATGTCCTTGCATGACCTTGATGTGGGCGACATCTGCACCGTGGATCCCTGCCACAAGGTGTGCATGCTGAGCCTCGCTCTCAAGTTCTGCTGTCGTGCAGCTGCTGACCTTGCTGGGAGCTCTGAGCACTGGCCCTCCCTCCTGCCCCAGCTGGTGCAGGCCTTGTGGCTGCCCTGGACCATCCTAGCTTCCTTGACCTCAGCTGTTGGTGAGCACAAGGGTGCCCAGAGAAGGGGATGGCACCAGTTCAAGTCTCCCCACACCGTCCTGCTCCAAGCCTTGCTGCTGGGTAGGCTGCAGTGCCCACACATGAGCCACAAGGAAATGGGTCCTCTCCTGGTGCTGCAGTGACCTTGCAGCTTTTGCCCCAGAAAGGATACCCCTGCTTCCTGCAGGCCCCACACGCCAGTGAAGGATCAGAGGTGTCTTCTGTCCGAACTATATCCTCTGGACCCATGGCACTGGGTTTTCTTGTGTCAGTATGTGGTGGGCAAGTGACAAGGCAGATAGTGGTCCCAGCCTGTCTCAGTCTGGAGGTCCCCTGGTCCAGCATGGGCCCCAGAATACTGCCCTGTTTCTGCCCTCTCTGGGGCCACCAGTTCTTGGGCATGGCCAGGGCTGGGGTTCTGGGGTGTAGCCTGCGTCTGTGTTCATCTCTGCCCCTGCCACCACCACCACTAGCCTGTGGCTGTCAGGGCCCCTCAGTGCTGTCTGGGTGGAGTGAGCTGAGAGGGCTGTCGTTTGGTGCCACTCTGGCTGTCCCTGCTCTGACTTTGCCTTCCCCCACAGTTTACGTGGTGCCTGGATGCCTGCATCCGAGAGCGGTTTGTGGACAGCAAGAGAGCCCGGGAGCTGCAGGGATTTCTGGATGGCGTGAAGAAGGGGCAGGAGCAGGTCCTGGGGTGAGGGTCAGCCTAGCCCTTGGCCCTCATTCCAGGGTGTCCCCAGCTGAGACACCATTGCTTGGGATGAGTCTGGTAGCAGAGAGACCCCATCTCTGTGGAGTGTGGGGACACTGCTCCTTGGCTGCTTTGAGCTGAGGAGTGGTGTGGGGCCCCATCCTGGCTCCTAGTATCCTCGGACTGGTGCGTGAACACAGTGCTTGGGGTACAGCCCCGCCATGGTCCTGAGCTAGCATTGTCAGAATCTGGGCCAGGTTTTCAGAACCAAAGCCTACCAGTATGTACACTTCACTTCCTAACTCTGGTTTGAAAGATCTTTGGGTCAGTTAAGGAAAAATTGTGAGCCTTAAGCTTTTCAGTGGTGGACATCTGGAGTCCAATCTGCTTGCTCCCTCCTATTGAGGAAGCCAGTCCTCAAGGCCTGGCAGCCTAGTGCTTAGCTGTTCCTTCAGCTGGCTGTGTGGAATACAGTGACAGGGTGGGACAGCCAGGCTCCCCAGCTAATGCCGAGAGCCATTCCTTCCAGGGACCTGTCTATGATCCTTTGTGACCCCTTTGCCATTAACACATTGTCGCTGAGCACCATCAGGCACCTACAGGAGCTGGTCAGCCAGGAAACATTGCCCAGGGTGAGTGCAGGTGTGGCCCAGGGCACATGGGGGCTGTGATTGAGGTCCTGGGGCCCTGGCATCTGGCCCAGGGGCAGTGGATTCCCAGCGGCATGGTGAGCAGGGTCAGCAGTGGCCTAGCCCTGGTGTGCTGTTGAGGTCTCTGTTTCCCTACAGGACAGCCCTGACCTCCTCCTGCTGCTCAGGCTGCTGGCTCTGGGTCAGGGGGCATGGGACCTGATCGACAGCCAGGTCTTCAAGGAGCCAAAGATGGTACAAATCTGAATCGAGACCACTCTGTACTCTGCTCCTTGGGGGAGGGGCAAGGCAGGCCCCTCTGGTCCCACAGTGTCACTGGAGGCTTCCTTTTGGGAAACGCCCACCTGGGTGTTTGGGGTGTCTCAGAAGATGGGCTGGCCATGTGATTGTGCCAGGTGGGGGTTCAGGGGTTCAGGGACACAGTGCTGGGTGGGGTTCCAGGAGGCCAGGAGAGGGTCTGGAAGATTTGCAGGGGATGGCCCTGTTGGGGTAGGCACAGGCTCAGAGGTCTTCCTCCTCAGGAAGTAGAGCTCATCACCAAGTTCCTGCCGATGCTCATGTCCTTTGTGGTGGACGACTACACATTCAATGTGGACCAGAAGCTTCCGTCTGAGGAGAAAGCACCAGTCACGTACCCCAACACGCTTCCTGAAAGTTTTACCAAGTAGGGCTTAGAATCCATGGTGTGAGGGCATGGGTTGGCACAGCGGGGTGGCTGCTGGGCAGGGTTCACTGCAGCTTGTGTCCTGTCCCGGCCAGGTTCTTGCAGGAGCAGCGTATGGCCTGTGAGGTCGGGCTGTACTATGTCCTGCACATCACGAAGCAGAGGAACAAGAATGCACTGCTGCGTCTGCTGCCCGGGCTGGGTGAGTGCCGTCGTGCTGTGCACCTAGGTGCCTGGCCTGGCCTCCAACTGTGCAGCGGGAGGCCCTGGTGTGCGGGTTGTAAAGGGGAGCATCTGCACAGCTGCTGCTCTGTCTCGTGTGTGGCTCACACAGGGTCTGGCACCGACTGGTGAAGGGATGGGCTCTCTGGGTGCATGGAGGACTGAAAGCGCTGCAGGGTGATGACAGTGAGCCAGGAAGAAGTGGAGGGGCCCCACAGGTCCCGCTGGGAGAGGTGGCTTCGGAGCATCTGTGTCTGCAGAGACAGGCCCTGGCTTCTACTCACTCGAGCCTTCTGGGGTTGTGCATATTTCATGCTAAGTGTGTTGAATCCCTTCTGCAGCTTTCTGTGTGCAGGAAGCCTTCTGTGGGTATTAATTTGTATGTGGCCACCCTCCAACTGTGTTCTCAGCTGGGTTTGGTTTTCCCTGGCTGCTGGATTGAGCTGCTACACACTCCGGCCTCTGCTGTTGCAGGTTTCTGTTGGGCTATGGCAACTAGGAGCCTCCCAGCTCCTGCCAGCTCGACAGAATCAGGTCCACATGCTCTCCAACTTTGGGGGTGTCAGGATATTTAAGGGCCTGGGCCTATTTGTATTTTGGTCAGAAATGACATTGATCTGCCTTGCTCTTCATTCTGGAGCTTCGTATCGGCAGGCATCTGTCCCCAAATGAGTGGCATGTGTCACTGCAGTCCTGTTCAGGAAGGGCTTGTTTTTAAAGTGTTTGATTGGATTCTAGGAAGAATGGACGTGGATTTTGTGGGATTTTCTTTTATTTACTCTTGTAAGTCCTGACTTACAAAAATGAGTTCCATTCTGGGGGAATGTTCGTAAGTCAGATATGTTCCTAAGTAAGACTGACAAAGTGAGTCTTAAACACCTTGACACAAATACACAATGTATTCCGCCACCTGCTTCACAAGTGCAAGGTCCCGAGTTAGATCCCCGGTATCAAACAACCAATGTAAAGCATTTTAAAAAAGGCAAACACACACATAGATAAACTATGTACTATCGCATTGTACAGTAAGCACACAGCAGCACAACTGTGGCACTGTCCAGCAGAGGTATGAGCTCTTTCTGTGATTTGTTCACATCTACGAATGTTCATAATTTGAGGCCTTTTTGTATTTGTAAAAGTTCGTAACTCCAATGTTTGTAAGTCAGGCCTCACTATAGTTATTTTTATTTTGAGTTTTGCTTGATTTCTGATCATAGCACTCTGAGCAGATGAAAAGCTAAGAGCACACCATGGTGAAGCCTTGTGTGTCACTGGTCCAGGTCTGTGTGGCTCAGGACCTTGATATTGCCACACGTGTCCCCCAAACAGTTCAGTATGCACCCTGCAAAGGAAGGGGCTTCCTAGCACCTACCTCGGAGTGTGGTCGCTCAGCTGGCTGTGGTTCCTGCAGATCAGGCACTGGGCCAGCTGTGTGTCTGTGGTGGCTTCAGCATCACCATGGAGATGGCATGCCAGGACTCGGGAGCTACCTTCCCTCTGCAGCTTCCTGCTGCTGAACTCTCAGTCTGGGGTGCTTTGGAGTCAGCTGCGGGAATTGGGTTCATAGCAGCTGAGACTCAGATAGTTGGCAGTAGCTCCGTGGGAGGCCAGGGGCCCCTGAAATGTCTAGCTATCCCATGGGTCAGATGGCATCAGCAGGGTCTGCCCTGAGGGTACTCTCGAGTGGCACTGTGTCCATTGTCCCTTGTGAGGGGTGTGACTAAGGTGTCATCCATCACCTTCCCTTCCTGCAAGTGATGCAGGTGCCACAGGAGGCTCCCAGTGTTTCTAGCAGACCTGCCTTGGCAGCTGTGGCTTCCCCACCTGTCTGCAGTCCTTTGTCCTTGTTCCTGAGAACTGTCTGCATGGTGTTTGGAGAACTCTGTGCTGTGCCTGGTACATTCCTCCATTTCACTGGTGTCCGTGGCGTGTCTGGCCTGGCAGCTACTGGACTCTGGTCTGGCAGGGGCATCATCTCTGCCTGTACCCCAGCTCTGGCCCTCCTGCTTTGCCAAGCCTCCTGTGGGTCCCCTGGGGCCAGGTGCTGGGAGGGTGGTGGCCTGACTGACTGCTGCATGGTTGCAGTGGAGACCTTTGGCGACCTGGCCTTCAGTGACATCTTCCTCCACCTCCTCACTGGGAGCCTGGCCCTGCTGGCTGATGAGTTTGCCCTGGAAGATTTCTGCAGCAGCCTCTTTGAAGGTTTCTTTCTTACCGCCTCACCCAGGTGGGCCACAAGTGCTGGCTGGCCCAACCCTCGTGGCCTCTCAGCCTGGGGGCTGCCTGGCCAAGCTGGGGAGGTATTTGAGGGGCCCTGGCCCTGTCTGCAGGGGCGGTGGGAGGGGCCTGGGGGAAGGGAAGCAGGGTCTTTTCCCCAGCCCCAGTCTAATTTGGCCTTTTCCAGGAAGGAGAATGTGCACCGGCATGTGCTGCGGCTGCTGCTCCACCTGCATGCTCGGGTGGCCCCATCCAAGCTGGAGGCCCTGCAGAAGGCTCTGGAGCCCACAGGCCAGGTTGGTGCCCACCCATCCCCGGTGCCACCTGTGTGCACCCTGCTGTGCTGGCCTCAGTGACATGCTTATTGCCCACCATGACCCCTGTGGGCAGTGTCTTGCTGGTACCTGGCTCTCCTGTGTAACCCGGGGCGCCTGGCTCTGCCCACAGAGCGGCGAGGCTGTGAAGGAGCTCTATTCCCAGCTCGGAGAGAAGCTGGAGCAGCTGGACCATCGGAAGCCCAGCCCTGCTCAAGCTGCTGAGACGCCCACACTGGAGCTGCCCCTGCCCAGCATGCCTGCCGCGGCCGGGCTCTAGGCGGGGGCTGGTGGTCGTGGCTTCTGCCCGCCATGGCACCCACTCACCGTCCTGGGGCCTAGCCCTGTGCTGTAGGTACTGCGAGGGTTTTCATAGCAGGAAGGCCGTGCTGCAGGTTTTCACAGCCGTGGCAGGGATGGGCGGAGAGGGTGAGGAAGGGGAAAGCAGGGCTCTGACTGGCCCCACTCTGTGGCCCAGGCTGAGGGTGGGTGCCTTGCTGGTCAGAGCAGGGGTTGCTGGCCAGTGTCTGCGGGGCTGGAGATGCCACTGGGCAGCAACCTTGGGGTGCACTGTCCCCATATCTATGGCCCCTCAGGCAGCACCTCCCCTGGAGCACCCTGCCTCAGTTTACTCACTAACTGCTGCTTGCCCAGCTGCACCGTGACCCTGGGCGAGCCAATGAAAACACACAAGGAAGTCTCCATGGATGTGAATAAAGACATCTTGGTAAATCCAGTGGATGTCTGTGCTGGCCGGGGGCTGGGGTTGCCAGCAGCAGCGTCGGGTTCTCTCCCTGGCTGATCATCTTCCCACCTCCGTGGTCCTGGGCAGCTGTGGACAGGCCAGGCCAGCTCTTTGGTCTTTGGGGCCTGGCGGAGCAGCCTCCCTCCCTGATGGGGATGCAGGGCCCTGGGCACACATGAACAGCCATCTGAGTCATCCCTGGGCCAGGCCGGCTTGCTGGGGTGGCAGGGCCCCTGGCTGAGGTGGGGAGCAGTGAGTCTGAGGCACCTCGGCTTCTCAGGGTGAACAGCTGTTCTGCCAGGTGGAGCGTGTCACAGGCAGATGGGGTCAGAGTACCCTGGCAGCCAGTGATACCCAGTCAGCTGAGTCAGGAAGAGGGGTTTACCTGGGCTCATGTTCCACAGGCCCAGGGTCCAGGGCCACATCTGTTGATGGCCATGTGAGGACTTCAGTGAAAAGTGGGTCATGGGGTGGGCTAGGGTGTCAGTGATTCAGGGCCCGGGAGCCCCAGACAGACGTTTGAGGAGGAGGGTAGGCTGGTGGTGTAGATGGGGCCCCTCTGCTGTGACATTTGCCCAGGTCACTCGTGTGGCAGAAGAGGCAGAGCTGGGCTCCAGGGAGGACGGCAAAGGCAACACTGGCGAGGTCGTGGTCAGTGTGGAGGGCCTACCTTATGGCCCCGGCATAGACAGCCGCTTGCTCAGGGTCCTGCCAGGGCACTTGCAGGGGATTGTGGCAAGAGCTGGAGTTAGGGAGACCCAGGGCCCCCCCAGTCTGTCCTGCCTTGACCCCCTGCAAGGGGTGTTGCTGCAGGAGGTTGTCTAGGTCCGAGAACAGGGCTCGGAGTTCCTCCTCCAGTCCAAATTGTCACATTTTTGTTGACATGGGGGCAGAATTGGGTGGCTGGGCCCTACAGTGAGGAGGTGCCCCATCCCGGAGTGGGCGCAGTACGGGCCAGCTGCTTCTCAAGAGGCTGTGGTCAAGCCCTCGGCGTCCCAGGGCCCATCCTGGGATGAGGAAGGGGCTCACTGCAGCAGGCCGACGGGCCACCGCTGCAGGGCCGTGGGTGAAAGAGCCTGGAGCCGTCTCTGCCTGCAGCTCAGCCCCAGTGCACATGCCCCATGGTAGAACCTTCCCTTCTGCCCACCTACCCGGAGGCTGCTGCCACACCCCCATGGGACTCCCCTCCCCTAGTGGATTTCCTCAGTACCCAAGGGGTCCACCTCAGGCCACGCCTCTGCCCCTTCCTAACCACCCCCACCAGGTCACCTGAGGGCATTCTCTCCAGTCTGTCACTTCTGCAGGTCTGCCGCCCCTCCTCAGGGTCATCCATGGCACTTGAACCCACATATCCAGTCCTGGGGCCCACAGTCCTCCCTCCAGCCCCCCTTGTTCCACACGCACCAGTCCTGGCCCTGACCTCCCTCACCCACCAGGTGTTCTGGGGAGGGGGTCCCTGCAGCCAGGGTCAAGACACTGCCCTGACCATGCCGTGGCAAGAAGCAGCAAACATCCACAGGCCATACTCTGGAAGATGGTGAGGCTGCAACAGGGCCTGGTGGAAATGGCTCCCCCTCTAGAGGGATGCCCAAGGCCACAAGCAGGCAGGTGGACCAGGTCCAAGCCTCTGTCCCCCACCACCGTGTGCCCAAGTTCCTCCAAAATTCGCCCAGTTGCCACAGAGACCCTGTGCTATGTGTGTGCAACAGGGGATGGTAAGAGTGAGCTCTATCCCTGGTTAGGTTCTAGAACTTGTGTGTCCTGGCATTTTTTTTTTTCTTTCTTTCTTTTTTGAGACAGGGTCTCACTCTGTAGCCGAAACTAGCCTTGAACTCCAGGCAATCCTCCTGCCTCAGCCTCCCAGTGCTGGGATTATAAATCTGCACCAGCATGCCCAGCAGTGTGTTTTGTATTGAAGGGAAGTCCAGGGTGGTGGGGAGAGGGTGGGGGCTTGTTTGTGTGGAGGGGAAGAGAAAGAGAGGAAGGCCAGGCTGGGGCTATAGCACCCAGCTGAACAGAGGAACCTTGCCCCCCCCCCAGTGGGCCATGCAAGGGGGGAGAAAGCCACCGTGCCCTGAAGAGCGCAGGGGAGTGGGGAAGGAGCTGTGAGTTCCTTCACCTCACCAGGCGATCTGTTGGAGCTGCAGGGCTGAGGAGGGGGCGGCCAGGTGGAGGGGACCCTGGTCGCCAGGAGGCTTATCTCCTGGCTCCGCGTCCGTCCAGCCCAAGTCCCGCCCGGCTGCACCCCTGACTCACTTCCTCCGCGGGAAGCGGAAACCTACTCAGAGCTTCCTCCGCTGCGGACTCTCCCTGGGGACACGCAGGTGTCGCTGCCCCCTGGGCCTGCGCTGGCCGCTGGCCCCTGACCCACCCACCGCACCCCAGAGCCCAGCATTTCCTGCTTCCTGCGTCGTCGCAGGCTCACAGCTGTGCAGGGGACCGGATCTGGGAAGCGCGCGGCTGCAGGTAGGGGGCTCCATCCCTCCTCCCGGCTCTTCCTTCTGCCCCTCTCTTTACCTCCCACTCCTGGCCGCCGTCAGTGTGTGCGCGGGAGGACCCCAGTTTCAGGCGTGGGGCTAGGAGGCCTGGCCGAGCCGGGGGCGCATGATCAGAACCTCGAAGCCTTCCATCCCCCAGTGTACAGGGCTTCTCCGAGCCGCTGGCCGTCTGGGATCGCTCTCCAACCCGCGTCCCCTGAGACGCAGGGACCCGACGTCCGGCAGCCCAGTCGGACTCTAGACCCGGCAGGCCCGCTTAATTGCTTCCCTGCGCCCCGGCGCCGGTCGGCCTGACCCTTGACTCCTCCTCCAGGAAGCCTGCGGCTGCCGATAGTTGCACCCCCTCCCCCGCCACTTCCTCCGGGCCGAGGCCTCTCTGGCGCACCCGTGGGATTTGCATGGCGCGGCCGCTGCTTCCTGGTCCGCGTGGTGCGGCGGGGGCGGGCCGC